ATGGTTAGTAAAGTATTTCCGTCGGACAAAGTGGTGGACGAAGCCATCAAATTGGGAGAGAAAATAGGAAACAATTCCAAACTTATAACCGCTATTTGTAAAGAATCTGTAAACACAGGTTTGTATTCATTTTCTCAATTTAATAGTTAATTAGATTATTATAAAAATGTTAACAAATTGAATGTTTATTCCCAATGAATGATAGCATATGAGACCACTTTAGCTCAGGGCCTGAAAGCGGAGAAGCGATACTTCCACTCCACTTTTGCCACCGTATGAATCAATTATACTATTTTTCCGAAAGCATTGTTTTAAATGATTTATTATTTTTTATAATCAACAGAACGATAGATCTGAAGGAATGAAGGCATTCGTCGAGAAGAGGGCCGCAAATTTTAAAGACGAATAATTAGGACTTAATCTCTACTCAAAATCATGAATTTAGTTGAAAAAGTTGTAAAAATGATTTGATTTACTGATGATTCAGTTGTGTTTCACTTTATATGAAATAAAATTTTTACTTTTACTACTAATGAGTACAAACAAAATATTGATTGTTTATCATAGATCTATGACATCCAGACATATTATTAATATGTTGTTACGATTGTGTATTTAAGAGTTTGTCTATCTCTGACCAAAGTTTCGGTCAAAGTTCAAGGCTAGAGATGTTTATATAATTACATTAGTTTAGCACTTTGTATGGATAGTTGGGTACAAAACTTTGGTAAAACTTTTAATAAAATGAATTAGAATTTTAAATTAAAAAATACATAAAATCTTTATAACAATTAATAATAACTTATTATTATTATTAATAAGTATTAATAAGTAGTTTTAGAGTAATTTACTTAAAATATTACAAAACTATTTAAATATAATTAACAAAATTGTAATATAAGTTGAATTTGTATTTAAGTCCTTCTTTTGAGAAAAGGAAGACTGAATTTGGTGTCGATGTCTATGCCTTCCATTGAAGTACAAAAGTCTTTGAATGACACCTTTTTGTCGCCATCGAAGTCCATTTCGGCGATCATTTTGACCGCATTTTGTGAAATCACTTGACTCTCACTGTGCGGCAGAATTTTGCTCAATATTTGGCACAAATCATTTTCATCGATGTATTTATCGCCGTCGATGTAATTGGTGGTCAAAGCTCTTCCCCGAACAGCACTTCATCCGCTGAAGTCATATATAGTGACCGGAGGTTTGGGTGGCTTTGGACTCGAACTCTCTCATTGGTTGGTCGAAAGAGGCGCCCGAAAACTGGTGCTCACCTCCAGAAGCGGACCCCGAGATGCTTACCAACACTTATGCATTAAACGTCTTCGTTCTCATGGCGTTCACGTGATTGTCTCGAAGGCCGACGCGTCCACACCTGAGGGCTCGACTCAACTCGTGAAGGAAGCGCTTTCGTTAGGACCGGTCGGCGGTATCTTTAACTTAGCGATGGTATTGAGTGACGGATTCCTCGACAACCAAAGCGCCCAATCGTTTAAGACTGTCTGCGATCCTAAAGTGAACGGAACAGTGAATCTCGATAACGTGAGCCGACAGATGTGTCCGCAATTGGATTACTTCGTGGCGTTCTCTTCGGTGAGTTGTGGCAGAGGTAATGCCGGACAAAGCAATTACGGTTTCGCCAACTCATCGATGGAAAGAGTGTGCGAATCGAGACGAAGCGACGGTTTGCACGGATTGGCCGTCCAATGGGGTGCCATCGGAGACGTCGGAGTGGTGTCCGAGAATATGGGCGGAAACGATGTGGTGATTGGCGGTACTCTTCCGCAACGGATCCCGTCGTGTCTGGCAGTGTTGGACCGATTCCTTCAATCAGAAGAGAGCGTGTGTTGCAGTCTTGTGAGAGCCGTCCGAAGCACTGACACATCCGGAAGCAAAAAGCAGGACTTAGTGAAGACGATCGCCAATATTCTGGGCATCAAAGACACGGCCAGTTTGAGTGCATCGACCACTTTGGCCGAAATGGGAATGGATTCGCTGATGGGAGTCGAAGTGAAGCAGACATTAGAGCGCGATTACGATGTGATTCTGTCGATGCAAGAGTTGCGGTCACTAAACGTGGGTCACCTCCAAGAGATTGGTGGCGCCGGCGGATCAGCCAACGTCCGTATCGCTGCCGGTGACGCTCCCCTTCAGCTCAATATCTCTATTCCTCGCATTGGTTTACCCGACGAGACAGTTGTCCGACTCAATGACGTGACTGAAGGCAAACCTGTCTTCTTCTTACCGCCACTCGAGGGTGTATTCAATCTGTTGGAAGTGTTGGCCAAACAAATCAAACGCCCGGTGATTGGCCTGAACTGGACGCTCGCCTTTAAGGACATGACAACCATCGAAGAAGCGTCGGCTCATTATATCGAAACCGCCAAACGTCTCAATCCTGACAATCACTTCGATCTGATTGGTTACTCATTCGGATCCGTTCTCTCATTCGAGATGAGTCTTCAATTACAGCCAAAAACTAAAGTAAATTTGATTCTTTTGGACGGATCTCCCACTCAACTGATGGTCAGTACCGAACAGTTCCGCGAGAAATATCAGGCGAACGACGAGAAGGTGCAACACGTGGAGGCATTGGTGACATTCCTGATGCAATTCGTACCAATCAATTACCTGAAGGTGAAATCGGAACTGATAGCCATCGGAGAACAGGAGCAACGCGTACAGCGAGCGGCCGAGATCTTCATGGAGAGCGGCGGACCCAAGTCTGACCCGAAGGACATCGCGTTGGCCGCGGAGGCCTTCTTCAGGAAAGTGAAAATGATGCACAACTATAGGTTCCACAAGAAGTTCGACGGAAACGCGCTCCTCATCAGAGCCGAGGAATTCATTGTCAAAAACAATGACATCCAACTGCCCCACGACTACGGCGTCTCTGATGTAAGTCTTTTTGACCACTTTTTTAGTAAAGAATGTGTTTTTAATTTTTATTTATTTTTATAGTCAATTACCGGCAAATGCGAGACACATGTGATGTCCGGAAATCACAAAACATTTTTGCTGAACAATTTGGAGAAAGTGTCGGAACTAATTAATGCCCACATTTAACCACTTGTTTTTCAATTATATAATTCATAAAATTTATATTTTTCACTTTAAATTTTATTTTACTATAAAAAAACTTTTACTGAAATATCTGTTATTGAATTAAAGACCACTTTATATATAAAGGAGTGTAATAATGGTTGCGGAGCCAAAGTTATGAGCGGATAACTTAATTATTATTATTTTTTTACTTTAAAACTTATACCAATCGTATATTTTATTTTATTTGTTGGACTTTTTTCTGAATTAATTATTAAATAAAAGATTTAATTGAAAAATATTTTGTTTCGTAAATTTATTTTCAATGCAATACAAATCAAATGAAAATTTTAGAGATATTTTGCGAATAGATTTACACAATTTGGATGAGTTTTGTTTTTACAATTAATTAAAAGTAAATGAAATTTAAAAACAACACCAAATGAATGATCTCATTGGTTGAGTGGTTTGGATGTAACAGACGGAGAGCCCAATTCTTTGGCACCAAATTCCAGCGGCTTTTGATCGTTTTGGCCGTTTTGAAATTTAAAAACAACACCAAACGACCCAATGAATGATCTCATTGGTTGAGTGGTTTGGATGTAACAGATGGAGAGCCCAATTCTTTGGCACCAAATTCCAGCGGCTTTTGATCGTTTTGGCCGTTCTCTGGAGGAGAGAGAGAAGGACTTGGGCTCCGCATTCCCTGTCCGCTATTGCCAGTTGCGGCCAAACCAGCGATTAGCCCAATTCTTTGGCACCAAATTCCAGCGGCTTTTGATCGTTTTGGCCGTTCTCTGGAGGAGAGAGAGAAGGACTTGAGCTCCGCATTCCCTGTCCGCTATTGCCAGTTGCGGCCAAACCAGCGATTTTGGGGTCATGTCTGGCCATAGGACTGGCTCTTCGCTGATTTCTGGTGCCTATCGGACTAATTACCACTCGCTGTGTCTTCTCCTCAGAAATATCAGTAGAATTTGTGCTCTCAACTGATGGCTCTTTCGGACTCGTATCGGATGTTTGAGCGCGCGTTTGGGGCAAAGGGTGGACACACTGTCTTCGATTAGCGACAGTCAGCTGCGGAACGACGTGTTGGACGACAGCCGGCAGGTGTTGAGTGGTCTCTGTTTCCGATCGGTTGGAATTGGCGATAATCACCGGTTGAGACCTCATTGGGAAAACGGTGGGAGTGTCGCGGATATTACATAACAGACAGAATATGAACGCAAACACCAGAAGCAGGACCACAATAATGATCGGCACTCTTACCGAAACACTGATGTCATAGTTCTTCGACACTTCACCTGAAATTTGATTGAAAATTGAAAAAATATAACAAAACAATTCAATCTCAAGACTCACTTCCAGTCTTTTCTGTGCTCTCATTAAGAGTAGTGGCCAACAGTGAGTGAGTGAAGAGAATGTATGTAATGGCCAAATGCACCGCTGATGGCATTCTTCCTGTGTTTTGAGATATAGGTGAAGGAAATAACGGTTTATTATAAAGTTGTTTGAAATAAGTACTGATTTAATATGATTTGAATTTCACGCTCAAAAACAATTAATAATTTGTATTATGTCTCAAGACTTGATTTTTTAAATTCTCGTAATTTAATAATGTGTTTAATGACAAACTAAAATGTAAACTAATCTATTATAATACAACTGATCCGGTGGTGATACTTCACTCGGGGGTGGAAGTGGATAATGGGTATCATATCCATTGTTATATAACAATTCTGTGTTCTTGAATGGGAGAAATTAATTGTTTAGCTAAAAACATTTTTAACACAATTGTGGTTAAAAATTGAATTAAATTTGAAATAAAATCTTTCTTCGAAACAACTTTTGAAAGTTTTGTGAATTAATAAATAATTTCAAGAAATTGTGTTTTTAATAAACCAATGTTTTGTATTATTTGTATATTTGTTGATAATTATAAAGACTTTTAATAATTGTAAAGACTTTTAATAATTGTATTTTAATTATATTTTATTATTTATTTATTCAAAATTCTTGACAAATTAATAATAAAAAATTGATATTTTAAAAATTTAAAATTTTAAAAATTGATATATTGCCATAAGTGCGCATATGTGCGCAAGTGCTTGAAACAACAACATGTGTGATTTCTCAATCTCGAGTGTTTTAATTGAAAATTTAATTAAAAATCATCAAAAATTAGTGTCAGATTTGGATTCAAAGACACGAAAAACAATATATATCTCCGAAGTGAAGGACAGTATAAATGAATTAATTAATGATTTTATTGATAGAGTTAAAAATCTGAACACAGATTTTGATGATTACATTAGTGTTGTAGACAATAGTGTTGTCAATGCAAACAATGACATCAATAATAGTAATGATAATAACGATAATAATGACCACAATTCTGGTGACAATACATCCAATTCTATGCAACCAAACAATTCAATTCAAGCACTCGAAGACAAATTTGACAAATTTGAGAAAAGGTTCACAAAATTGGAAAATATTATTATTTCAATTAAAAATTACGAAAATGTGAACTTCAAGTCATACGGGAATCACAGACCAAATGGGAATCACCGGCAAAACGGGAATCACCGGCAAAACGGGAATCACAGACCAGACGGGAATCGCCGGCCTATTCAGTGCTGGACATGTTATAAGTATGGCCACACATCCCGGATGTGTTGGCACAACAATCCTAACCCTCAAAACTACGGCCGCAGTGATAATCAAAGACATCAAACACGAAATTACCGACAAAATCAACAAAATTATGGACACTTTCCGAGAAATATTCCACAAATTCCCCAACAAAGTGAACAAAACAACGCTTTTCAAGAAAATTTTTTAGTGAACGGCTATCACAACGAAAACGTAATACCAATGCAACCAAACTCCCAGTACTTCTTCCCAAGACGTCAAACACAACAACAATCCCAACGATAAGTAATTCTAACAGAAATCTCAAGAAATTAAATGTATTTTTTAGTAATACTAGAAGTGTTGTAAACAAAGTTAATTATTTAAAAGCCTATTTAATTCAATATAACATTGATATATGTGTTTTAAATGAAACATGGTTATCAGATATAGTACCTGATAATCATATATTTAATGATTATATCGTATTCCGTAAAGACCGGGAGTCGAGAGCAGGAGGAGTACTAATTGCTGTTAAAAATTACATTAAATGTTCACAAATACAATATATATCTGATTTTGAAGACATTTGTGTCCAGGTATTTGTGAATAATAAAAAATTTATTATTTATACACTTTACAAACCCCCAGATGTTGTGATTGACTTTCATTCACATTTTAATAAATTATTTCATGACATAAATACTAACATTAATGATAATATTATATTATTAGGTGATTTTAATACCAATTACATAAAAGTTAATAATAAGCTAACAAATGATGCTTTAATTTTATCTGAATCTCTGCTAATTCATGGATTTAAGCAAATAGTAGACAAACCAACCTATCCTTCAATTGATCCAAAATCCTTATTAGATGTAATATTTGTGAATAATTGTGAAACAATAGCTAATCTAAATATATTACCAAATATAGCAAATAGTTGTGATCACATGTCACTACTATTTAACATTAATGCTTTTATTGAACAAAATCCGACTAAAATAATAGAAAAATTTGATTTCAATACAGATTCACTTAAATGTTTAAATAATGAGTTATTTAATGTAAATTGGTTTGAAATAATTGTTGATGAATGCGATATAAATTCAATATACAGTATAATCAGCCGTAAATTTAGTGAGATTTTTGATAAAAATATAAGAAAAGTTACCAAAACTATTAATCCTAAGAAAAAATATAATTTTTATATCAGACAACTCATCAAAAATAGACGAAATTTAGTTAAATATAAACATAATTCTGTAAATTATTTGTCAAAACATAAAAATATAACATTAAAAATAGGATCAGAAATAGAAAAATATGAAACAGAATTAACGCATTCATTAATTAACAAATCAGACAATTTTTACTCATTTTACAGCAATCTTAAAAGACTTACAAATTCACCAAAAATTTTATCATTTATTGATGAAAATGGAGAAAATTGTACTCAAAATGATTTAATTGTCGAGAAATTTAAAAGCATTTTTGAATCAAAGTTTAGTGTAAATCAACACTCAATTGATGTCAATATTAACTTTCAAACCATTGAACCATTCATTGATTTTGATTTACATATTAATGATATTATTAGTGCTTTAAATAAGTTTAACTCAAATAAATCTGAGGGCAAATCATTTGTAAAAAATATTGTACTAAAACAATGCCTAAACGGTGTGTCAAAAATGCTTTACTGTTTATACTATTATATGATTAAATTAAGAAAAATTCCCAATGAATTGAAAATATCGATTGTATCTCCAGTTCCTAAACATAATAAAAACAAAAACTTATTTAATTCTTATCGAGCAGTTTCTGTGGCTCCAAATATATTTAAAATATTTGAATCTATATTATTAACAAAAATTATGCCATATATTAATATTAATCAAATTATCCCTTCTTCACAATATGGTTATCAAAATCATGTCAGTATTTCTGACATTCATATTGATATACAAAACTACATTTTTGAAGCTCTAAATAATTCATTAGTGAAATCTATTGATATTGTATTTTGCGATTTAAGCGATGCTTTTGATACCGTTCCTCATAAAAGACTTATTAATAAATTAAATAATTATAATTTTTCAAACCAGATCATTACGATAATTAATGACATATTTACAAATTGGACACAACGTGTTAAATACAATAATTGTTTATCTGATTTAATAAGTGTTTTGTCAGGTGTATTACAAGGCTCAGTGCTGTCTCCTGTGCTATTCAATGTCTATATGTCTGATTTGATTAATAATATTCAATCAAATGTATATCAGTTTTGTGATGATATTTGTATTATCAGAGTTATATTCAATGAATCAGACAGTCAGTGCCTTCAAACAGATTTAGACATAATTTACAATTTTTGTGTTGAAAACTCACTAAAACTTAATCCAAATAAATGCGAATCAATGTCTATAACACTCAAACATATTCAGCCCAATATATATAAATTTAATGATGTAATTATTAACAATGTTGTTACACATAAACATATAGGTATAATGTATGATCATAAACTTAGTTTTAACACACATTTAGATTATATTATAAGAAAAGCGTATAAAAAATACTATACATTAAAAACTGTTTGCCATAGAGTTAATGGAAAAGCGTTTCTTAAGCTATATATTACTTATGTTTTACCGATACTTGAGT